CACATTTACGAAAAATCTACATGCCTCAGCACTTTTTAAATGTCTAAATAATTTAAAATGCAGTTTCAACTAATAACACTATACCTGTACAGTTTAAAAGTGTTTTAATGTATGTATATATTTCAACTAAAGAAAATGTACTAATTGACTATTTCATTTCAGATACTGAATACCTAAAATGAGCCAAGAAAATACTCATATTTCACTAAAGGTTTTAATTTCATATCTCACGGAAAAATTTGTTTTAATCCTAAAAATATTATATTAATATATACTGGTCAGGCGCAGTGGCTCACGCCTATAATCCCAACACTTTGGGAGGCCGAGGCAGGCAGATCACCTAAGGTCAGGAGTTCAAGACCAGCCTGAACGACATGGAGAAACCCTATCTCTATCAAAAATACAAAATTAGCCAGGCGTGGTGGTGCATGCCTGTAATCCCAGCTACTCAGGAGGCTGAGGCAGGAAAATCACTTGAACCCGGGAAGCAAAGGTTGCAGTGAGCCGAGATCACACCATTGCACTCCAGCATGGGCAACAAGAGTGAAACTCCATCTCAAAAATATATACATACAACTTGCAACTTTATTATAAACAGGTTAATCTTCAACAATTTCCATGGCAGCAAAGTTTCCCAGTGGAGATGGTCTCTATAAAATAACTTAATTACTGTACACAATTACACAATATAAGCCAAGGAGAAGAAAACTGGAAACTAAGTGCTGCAAACACTAACACATGTGAATTGTACACTCCTCTTGGCATTCTTTAACTGCATTCTCACAAGGGAATACAGTTAAAGGTCTCCTATTCAACTAAGCCCCACTGATTAGTGTCCTGACTGGACAATGCTGGGCCGCAAGTACTGCAGCCTGAGTCACTGGAAAGAGCAGCAATCCTAAAGGAATTGCTGTTAGTCTGCCGGTGCCAGAACATTCTGCTGAGAGGCTCCTCAGCAAAGGGCTGGGTGTGGGCCCTGGCTAGCTGACTTTAGACCTAGAGCTTCCAAGGAGTGCAATGCTGCACAAAATTTTTTAGAACATATTCATCTTCATTTTCATGGAGGGAAAAGGCAAAAGATACCTCCTAAATGGCTTGCACTTCTATCTACTTCTCTCTTTTCTCCCCAACCACTATGTTGGTTCACGTCACCACTATGGCAAACCTGGACTTAGCAACATTCCAACTATGGCAAACCTGGACTTGGCAACATTCCACAAAAATACATACATCACATTCATATAGACACACAGAATCATACCACACACCCAGGCCACTCTCAAGATCAACCAATAACCTTTCACAAAAAGATATACATTACTCCCTGATCAAAGTTCTTCAGTAGCTCCCCACTGCACTCAGGATAAAAGTCCAAAGTCCTCAGCGTTACTTATAAGGGCCACATCTCACAAACTTCTCTCAACTCCCCAGCCTTATCTCTAGCTGATCCCCCTTCACAATCTACCAACAGACCCAACAAACCTGTTGCTTAAATGCATAGTGCTCTCACTCACATCCCAGCCTTCAGATATGTTAGTCCCACCGCCTGAAAGGAGTATTTGTTTCCATACTCTCCTTCTACCCTTCATGTAGGTCTAGGCTAAAGTGTTACTTTCTCCAGGCTGCCTTCCTCTACCTCCACCCCAGCTAGGGTAAGTGCCCCTCCCATAGGGCACTTGTACAATGTACTGCAACTGTCAGTTTACTTCCCTGTGGCCCCTGCCCCAGACTATGGGGTCAGTACCTCCTTGTCTACCATTCTATCAGAGGCACTCATATATTTGTTAAATATATTCTAAGTTTACTCAGTGAACATAATATGAATGTGGCCCATGCAGTAAGGAAAATGTGTTCAAAGTCAGTTATGATATGATGAAAACAAGGCAGCAATTTTGTGATGCTTTGTTGTAAAATTCAAACTACATAGGTGTCTACAAACATCCTTAAGAAAGGTTAAAACATTGCACCAAAAATAATACTTTTCTCCATAAACATATTAGTTTTGTGGTCACTACTCCTGGTAGGTAAATTGCAGTTCATAAAAAGTGTCAGATTGAATGTATCAAAAAAAGCAGCCCTGATTGCTTATAGGTCAAGTACAACATTAGTATAACGTTTCCTTTCTGCTGCCATCAAACTCTCTTGGGATTATCAGAACGCTCTCAGCCAAAGGGAAAAGGCTGGCCTGGCGCTGTGGCTCATACCTGTAACCCCAGCACTTTGGGAGGCCAAGGCAGGTGGATCACCTGAGGTCAGGAGTTTGAAACCAGCCTGGCCAACATGGTGAAATCACGTCTCTTCTAAAAAAAAATACAAAAACTAGCCTGGCATGGTGGTGTGCACCTATAGTCCCAGGTACTTGTGCGGTTGAGGCAGGAGAATCGCTGGAACCCGGGAGGTGGAGGCTGCAGTGAGCCAAGATCACGCCACTGCACTCCAGCCTGGGCAACAGAGCCGGACTCCATCTCATAAAAAAATAAACAAATGTAAAAGGCTTTTAACTCTGTCTCAAAAATAAATAAATACAAGTAAAAGGCTATCCATTTCCTTAGTTTCTAAGCCTTGATGTAAGTCCTTCAATATAGATTCCATTCATGATAATAGTCCGAAGGATATATAAACGTGTTGGCCAGAAAATAGACCTGATACATCCTGAGCATTAGTTGCCACCGGCAGAGACTTTCTTTAGGACACATGTCTTATAGTAAGTTACAATCTGAGGCTTGTGACACAGGGCAGCAGACTGATGTCACAAACATGATAGTTCTAAGCACTCCACACCAGCTCCACCCTACGCTCCCTGTGTGAAGGGGCAAATTATCCACCCTAAGCCTCAGTTTCCCCATCTCATGATGAGATAATGGTTCCTACCTCGAAAGATTCTTGGGGGAATTAAGACGACATGTCCATGAAAGCACTTCACAGGCAAACCACTTATTTTCAAATCAAAATGAAGGGAAGACTAGAAATATTTTCACATTTTCAGGACTTTGGATATGCCATAACTTATTTTTTACTAATGTCCTTCCACAGGGAAATTTTCGAGAAAGGCAGAAAAATGAGAAAATGAAGATCCGCTTCTGTCATAACCATGGGAATGACAACATCCATGGAACTCTACATTAAGATCCACTTTCTCATCTTTCTCTGCACTCCCAAAATCACCCTTAATTTCTGTTAACCATTCCTACAATATGGAAGATAGCAAAGGAAAACTACTTCAATACTTCTTTCCAAGATGTCCTCACCAGAAACAATCTTCATTCCTGCCTCTATGTCTCCAAATATACGGAATCTTTTTAAAAATAAAACTAAAACAAAAAGATAAAAGGGACTCAAATCACAAAAGCTGGCCTTCAAAGCCTCCGGCTTCCCACTGCAGAACTACAGTCATGTGGTATGACTGAGGCACCTGTTAGGTGGCACTCCATGAAGCTTAAAAGTGTTACCAGGAGAATTTAAACTGTAATGGGGGGAGGAAGAGGGAGCTGATTTCCCACTTCACATTTTTTCCCCTCTGACACATGATGGCCAAACAACAATACACGCTACCCACTGTGAACATTTTTATCATTTTTACCTAAATTGAGAAAGAGGAGAATTTGAGAGCCAACTGAGTAAACTGACTCTCATATTCTCCAATAAAGGCTGACTTTGGGTTTTGTGTGGGTTTTCTTTTTCCTTTTTTTCTTTTTGACAAGGAAATTTAACATATCCCCTGAAACGTGTTTTACGTGAAGGTGAGACCTCAACAGTAACTTTACCCCTAGCCTGGGTTCTAAACTCGGTTTTTACAAATGGGTGACGCGTGAACAGCTTCCTAAAAGCAAATGGGGCACTAGGATATAATCTAGGAAGTGATGATGCAAGTCTCTGGAGGACCGGGAGGAGGGGAGGTGAAAAAGTCAGAGGAAATACCCTCCCAATGCCTGGGCACCAACTCACGCCAAGGGAGGGAGTAAAGGCTGGCCTCCACATGCCCAGGGAAGGGGCACCCCTGCTCCTCCCAGAGCGGTCAACGCCGCCCCCTCATCTCTCCCCCGCCGCCCTGCCCCCCTCACCCGTGGCCCGGGAGGTCCCCGTGGGCCGGAGCTTCAGGCCGGCGATTCCCTAAGGGTGGCAACGCACCCCCGGCAGGGCCTTCCCTGCCCACCGCCAGCTCCCCACCCGGCACCCCTCCCCGGGACACGACCCCCACACCGTCCCCATAGGCCCGGGCTGGGCCCAGCCTCCAGGGTTCCGGCCTCCCGGGCCCCGAGGCCTGCCCAAGCAGCCCTGGCGTCCGCGCCCCCGGCCCCCGCCCCCACCCGGCCGGGCACTTACCCCCAGAAGCCGCAGGGACAGCGAGGCGGCAGGCTGGGCGCTTTGCTGCGCTCGCTCCCGGCGTCTCCCATGGTGCTCGGCGGCGGCGGAGCTCGGCGGCGGCAGCGGTGGCGGCGGCTGGGCCCGGGCCCCGCTCGGAGGAGGCGGCGGCGGCGGCTACGGCGTCGGGGGGCTCCGGGCGGGGGGAGGGAGAGGGAGCGGGCGCGCGGGCGGGCGCGAGTCCGGGGCTGGGAGCCGGGATTCCAGGCCGGTCAGCTGGAGGCGGGCCGCACCACTAGGCCTGCGGAAACGGGGGGCCGGGGAGGCGCGGAGAGGAGAAGGAGGGACCCGAGGAGGAGGGGCGTGCGGGCGCACCGAGGACCGCGGGGGAGGAGGAACACCGGCGCCCTCGGCGGCTCCCACCGCCGCTCCCTGCCAGAGCGATGTTCCTTGCGGCGGCACAGGGAAGGACCAGAGGCCCCCGCCGACTCCGCAGTCGCAGCGGTCGCTGTGACGCCGCGAGCCCTGACGGCTCCGTAACACCGTCCCCTCCCCCGGAGGCTGCGCTAACCGGACAATGGCCACTCCGCCCCCTCCCCTCCGCGCGCCCCTCCGGAGGAGTCACAATGGTTTCGCCCGGGGGAGCCTCCGCCTAAGCCCAGCAGCTGATCAGCTGGGATCCGGGCGTGCCACTTTGTTCCGCGCTTCAAAGGCGGAGTGCGGGGCTGTGGGAGAAAGCAAGAGCCTCAGGCTGTCGCCCGGCGACGGACGGCTGAGGCCTTCGTATTCTTAGCACTTTTAAAATATAAAACAAACTTATCTTCCCCGTCTGAAGAAGGGGAGCATGTTTCTGAGTACTCTGGGGCGCGCTGCCTCCCCCCAAACGCGAATGGTTCGCTCCAAGCGGGAGGGGAGGAGCAGATTAGTTGTTTAGGGTAAATTGGGCCAGTCCCAGATCGGCGGCGCATGCGCCCGCAGACCCCGTAACCGAGGGCGAGGAGGGGCCTAGGGGAGCTTTGCCAAACGCGGAAGTGGAGCTCTGGCTTCCCGGGGACATACGAGTCAAGGTCCCCAGAGCTGTCGCTCTAGCTCCTGGACGATGTCTGGGAGCCTTTCTTCCCAAACTGCCGGCTACCCGGGAATGTCTCTTCCTAGTCCCCCCAAATCCCAAGCAACTCTTCCAGTTCCACCCGGTGAACTGGTCTCTTGATAGGAACTTCTGGGAAATGCCCCTCCCCCAGCCCCTTGGTCAATTCCTTGTTTCTTCTCCCCACCACCGGTGTGGGGGAGTTCCTTGTCTCCCCACTCACAACCACAGAGCTACAAGTCCATTCCCTATGCCTAGGCTAGGAGAGCCGCACTTCTTCCTACAGCTGACAGGTTTGGTTTTTGGAGGGGAAAGGGGAACTGTTTCGGAATCAGTAATGGAAATCGGTAAGTGACCAAAGAAGTTTGAACCACTAAAAAAAATGAGTCCTTTAACGCTTCTAGTCTTTGATCCTGAGCTTATTCTGATCTCCAGCCAGCCGTGAACAAAGAAACCGATTACTGATGACTAAGTTCAACGCGGATGCAACATTCTCCAGACCTCTCGGAGGGATGACCCATCGCTGAGACCCTTGTGAGCGAACTCTAAATTCCTGCTACTTCCAAGAAGACTTCCTGGCTCTTAGGAATAACTGCCATATATACCCTGCTGGTCTGACGGGGATAGGAGAGCTTCAGAGAGAGTATTATCTAGATTAATTTGATTACCAAATGTTGCTATCTTCTTTATATACCAAATCACATTTCTGTTTGCATTCTCTGTGGGTTTGTTAACATTGATATTTCGTTTGACCTCTAAAGAGCAAGGATCACATTAAGCTTAGTATGCCACAGATGACGGTGAAGTGAATGATTGCAAAAATCAAGCCACTTAAAGCCGAAACACCCCGAAACTTATTTATTATGCACAGTTTTTGTGGATTTTCCAAAGCCTTCAATAAGTATACCTGTAAGAAAGTTCATAGAAAGGCGGGTGCAGTGGCTCACGCCTGTAATCCCAGCACTTTGGGAGGCCAAGACGGGTGGATCACCTTAGATCAGGAGACTGAGACCACCAGCCTGGCCAACATGGTGAAACCCCGCTCTAGCTTAAAAAAAAAAAATTAGCTACTCGAGAGTCTGAGGCAGGAGAATCGCTTGAACCCAGAAGGCAGAGGTTGCAGTGAGCAGAGGCCATTGCACTCCAGTCTGGGCAACAAGAACAAGAGAGCGAAACTCGGTCTCAAAAAAAAGAAAAAGAAAAAAGTGCATAGAAAGGATGAAGCCATACAGCACACCTTGCTCTCATTGGATTCATATTACCCTTATATCTTCACTTAAACCGACATGAAATTGTCACATATATGAGATACAGCCTCTGAGTTCAACAAAGATTAAGTGGGACTGTCTCTCTATTGGCATCTTGATAATTTTATGTACAGCAAAGGAAACTTGGCAACTAAAAAGAGAATTTAACACGACATGTGATTGTCATCTTCCAAACTGCTTTCCCACCTGTTTGCCAGTTATTCAACAAACATTTATTGAGTACTCAGTATATGCAAGGAATTTCCACGCACTCTGGAGACTAAAAGGATCAATAAAATGTAGCATTCACTAACAAGTCCCTACATAGAAGTCAGATAATTTGGTTCCAGTCTTCTCAGACTTCATTTTCCACCTTTCTCTATTCACCCTGCAAAGCAGACACTGGTTGCCATTCCTCAAACACACCTTGCTTTCTCACATCTCCATTCCTTTGTTGTCAATGTTCCTGACTGCCTCAGCTGCCTTTCCTTTTACACATACACACGGAAATAATCTTATACAACCCAAGGGCACAGAGGGCAGTAAGATCTCTTGAAGGACTGAAATAGAGAACTAATATATCAACAGGAAGCCAAGTGTTAGGCTTTTTTCTATTTTTTTTTTTTCTCTGATCACATGTTCTTCCATCTCTGCTTCTCTCTACAAAGCTGCTTTATAATCTCTGCAGACCTGTTTTCACTGCTTTTTTGGGAACATAATCCAGATTTACCCAGCCTCACTTCAGGAACCAACAGACTAATTAGTATCTGAATCCCAATCCCCAGGAGAAAGAAGTTGATTGGTTCAATTTATGTCAGCTTGTGTACTCTTGGTACAATCACCTTTGACCAACAGGGCGATTTGTAGCCAGGACTCTTTGTTTTGTAATGCAAACATGGCTGCCAGAACTCCATCTTTGTAGGCTACGTTCTCAAAGAAAGTCAGTTCTGTACTTGGCAAAGATTCCAGAAAATGTCCAGCACAGACCAGAAAGGAATAAATCGCAGCTGAAATTCAGAAGCATAAAGAACAATGGACATGTTGAGGATTTTCAAAAGACTAACTCCTACTTAAACAATTTCAGACCTGAATTTAAATGGCTCTCCTTCCAAAAAGTCATCACTGACCCAAGCCCCAATCAAAATTAGGTAGCCCCATTATTATCTTATATGGTACTCTTTTTTCTGTACCTATCGCAGTTTATGATTAAATACATATTTGTGAGTCTCTTCTCCGAAGAATCATCTGTTTTGTTTACTATGATATACACAATACTCAAGGTGCATTTGGGAGGCATTCAATATTTGTTGCATGAAAAAGGCACAATAATTTGTTAGTTAATGTGAGACCCACAAATGGATTGGCATCGTAGTTAGACGATCCTGGCGGAATATCTCAGTCACCAACCCACCCTCCCTAGAAGATATTGAAGCTCACTGCTTTTTCCAGTTTTTTTCCTCTGAACTCATTTATCACAAGGCCGCCAGCTTTTTTGTCACACTGAGGTTGTATGAGATGTGCCACAATATTTATCTGCTGCTTATGATGTTCTTCCCCAGCTAACTCTTTACTCTTAGTTCCCAGTGTCTCTATCTGTAGAGCCCTTGATCCAGTTCCTATAACAAGCCCACTTAGCTGACTGAAAGCTCAGAGAGAGGACATAAAATTTCGGGGCATCATCAAATTAGGGGAGCAAAGTGTGGGGGTAATTGGCAGAAGTGCTTTTGTCGTAATTGTCTTGACTGTTTTCTATCATGGATTATGTTCCAGATGAACCTGTGATGTGACTCCTGGGAGTAGTTTGCAATAACCATTGGCCCAAAAGGAGTCATCTATGTGCTCAGTGGGGTCTAGTAAAGGATAATATTAATTCTTCAGCAGCAGAGCTCTTGAAGTAAGAACTGAAGGTGTACAGAAAAGAGCCTGGTATGATTCAAGGTCAGGAGCACACAATGGCTGCTTTCTTGGTAAGAATTCAAAAGACCTACTTAGCCCTGGAAGACATGACCAAAAAGAAGAGGCTTGTAGAGGCTTGAGAGAAAGCAGATGATCTTCCACTCTAATTCTAATCCGTAACCTCAAAATTCGCTCTCAGTTCAAGCTTGTCTTCATTATAATCCATCCTAACCTGGTATTAGCCCCAATGTCCAATCCAAACTCTAGCCTTAATCCTAATCCTAATATTATTTGTAAAATTTAATCTCAGATCCCAACTCTAATTCTATGAGCTTAACAAAGGCTCCTTGCCTTGCCACTGAGTTATTTTCCCTAGCTCCTTTTTCTTGTGCCCCTTGACCCTGACTGACTCCTTGGAACAGAGAACACTATAATATCCTGGACCCCTGGAGAGAATAAGAGCCAATTTCAATAACCCAGGTTGGATCCAGGGCCTTGGGCTGCCAGAAAAGAGAAAGTGGGGCATCTGTCACCAGAGCAGGAGGCAGAGACCCTGCCCAATCACATTTCCTATTGCCTAATTCAGGGACAGCTAAGCCTCTGAAAGTCCAAAAAACATGCCCTCCAACTCACCTATGTACACTCAGGAATGTGAGGTACAGTTGGCCTACAGCGGAATACCTGAGACCCCTCTGCAAACAATATGATTAGACAAGTGGCTTTTATACTGTGTTCTCAGAGAGCAAGAATTCTGAGTTTTGCTCTCCTCTTTCATTTAAGTTCGGTTTTCCAAGGGGGTGAGGGTGGATTTTTTTCAAAAGGGACTGAACCAGATCCTCTCTAAGGTTCCTTCTGGCCCTTGAGTTTTCTGATGTGCGGTTGATTCTTTTAGTCACTTATGGTCCAGTTGGCATGGATAAACTCTCAGAGCCAAGGGAAAAGAAGGGCAACCAAGCATACCGTCTCCAGCCCATCTCAGGAAACTAAAAATAAATTAAATAAAATGAAGAGTGCGACGGGGAGGAGAGGAGAAAATGCTGCCATTTCACATCCCGTGTTCCTCGTGTTCACGAAGCAGTTGCTGATTTCCCTGCTTCTCACACCCATCTTGGTGTGAAATTTGATTTTGCTGACTTTTAAATTTCTTTTCGAGAATGGAAATAATTATTTTTTTCCAGAAATACTTGACCTTAGTGGGGGAAAAGAAATTCAAACAATGAGAAAGCAAAAGTTCTCCCGAATACCGTCACCCCCCCAGAGATACCCTTTATTAACCGTTTGGTGTATAGCCCTCGAGGCTTTTCATTTTTGTATGGTCATATAAATGGAATCATGTAATACAGTATACTCTGGCTGGTTGTTTTTTTTTTAACTTTGAAATACGTCATAGACATCTTCCTTGTGCACCTCTGCAGTAGAGTCTTGTAGTTAGATTTCTCTAAACAAACAGAACCAATGGGAAATAATTATACATGAGATTTATTATAAGGAATTGGTTTACACAATTATGGAGGCAGAGAAGTCCCAAGATCTGTAGTGTGAAGGCCTGGGAACCTAGAGAATCCATGGTGTAAGTCCTAGTCTGAGTCAGAAGCAGAAGACCAATGTCCCAACTCAAAGGCTGTCAGGTAGACAGCAAATTCTCTCTTACTTAGTCTTCTATTTGGGCCTTCAACAAAGTGGATAAGCCCTGCCCATCTTGAGGAGGGCAATCTCCCTTACTCAGTCTACCATTTTGTTTTAATTCATTCAAACTGCTGTGACAAAATACTATAAAATGGGCAGCTTGTGAACAACAAGAATTTATTTCTCACAGTTTTGAAGGTTAGGAATTCTGAGATCAAGCCACTGACAGATTTGATCTGATGAGAGCCCACTTTCTGGTTCATAGATGGCCCTTCCTTGCCATGTCTTCACATGGTGGAAGGGGCAAATGAGCTCCCTTGTACACTAATGCCATTCATGAGGACTGTGCCCTTATGATGTAATCATCTAAAAGACTGCCTCCTAATACCATCACCATGGGGATTAGGAGTTCAACATATAAAATGGGGACTGTGGAGGTGGGGGGACACAAATATTTAGACCATAGTAAATGTTAATCTCAACCTCAAAGACATACCCATAATAATATTTAACCAAATATCTGGGTACCCTTCAGCCTAGTAAAATTGACACATAACATTAACTAACACTTAACTCATGGGCTTCAAACTCAGGCTGCCTAAGTTCAGATGTGGGTTCTACCACCTACTAGCTCAGAGACTTTAGGGAAATTATTTAGCTGGTCTGTGTCTTAGTTTCCTTGTCTGTAACAGGAGCTGTGGTTTTTATCTGCCCACTACTCCCTGCTTCTCAGGGATGCACACAGTCACTGGTTTTGTCAGGGAGCCTATCCTTCTGGACTCAGGAATTCAGATTGACTCAGAGAATGGCAGAGCCCTCCCTAGGCTGACTTTTGAGCTTTATTTTCTGAGATCAAGTGTCCCAAAGACTGTGTAAGCTTGGAGCTGCTGAGGTACCCACCATCTGGAGTGAGGCTGCCTGGGGATCAAGCCAACAGAAAGGAAAGAAGAAAGATGGAAAGAGAAGGAAAGACTAAATCATCAAGACATTGAGTTACTGAATCCAACTAAGTCTGACACCAGAGTTACCCTCTAGACTTTTCAGTTACATAGGCCAATAAATTCATTCTTTTACTACACTAATTTGTATGGAGTTTCATTATGCTCCATGAGAAAATCCTGACCATCCCTAGTTCTAGTAGTATCTACCAAGTTCATGAGTTTATTGTAATGATTAAAGTATATAATCTGTGAGGAAATCTTAGCATAGTATGTAGTATATGATACAAGCCCAGGCCAGGCTCAGTAGCTCACACCTGTAATCCCAGCACTTTGGGAGGCCCAGGCAGGCAGATCACTTGAGGTCAGGAGTTTGAGACCAGCCTGGTCAACATGGTGAAACCCCATCCCCACTAAAAATACAAAAATTAGCCAGGCGTGGTGGTGCACGCCTGTAATCCCAGCTACTTAGGAGGCTGAGGCAGGAGAATCACTTCAACCTGGGAGGCGGAGGTTGCAGTGAGCCGAGACTGCATCACTGTACAGTGGCCAGGGAGTCTGGACCACAGAGTGAGACTCCCTCTCAAAAATAAATAGGCCGGGCGCGGTGGCTCACGCCTGTAATCCCAGCACTTTGGGAGGCCGAGGTGGGTGGATCAACAGATCGAGACCATCCTGGTCAACATGGTGAAAACCTGTCTCTACTAAAAATACAAAAAATTAGCTGGGCACGGTGGCGCGTGCCTGTAATCCCAGCTACTCAGGAGGCTGAGGCAGGAGAATTGCCTGAACCCAGGAGGCGGAGCTTGTGGTGAGCCGAGATCACGCCATTGCACTCCAGCCTGGGTAACAAGAGCGAAACTCCATCTCAAAAACAACAACAACAACAAATATAAATAAATAAATAAAGGAATAAATAAATAAATAAAAATACAAGCTCCATAAATATTGTTGTTATTAACATTTGTTCCTTTTTAATGGCTACTGACTACTCCATTGTATGGGTGAATTATTTAAAGAATCTCCTCTTAATTCATTTATCTTATCATTGATTCATTTATTTTCATTTATTCAGTCAAAAGACACTGAGCACAGTATTAGGCCATTGTTGCATTACTGTAAAGAAATCCCTGCTACTGGGCGATTTATAAAAGAAAAGCTGTTTAATTGGCTCATGGTTCTGCAGTCTGTAGAGGAAGCATGGCATCAGCATCTGCTCAACTTCTGGGGAGGCCTCAAGGAGCTTTTACTTATGGCAGAAGGTGAAGCAGGAGCAGGTACTTTACATGGTGAAAGCAAGAGCAAGAGAGAGTTGAGGGATAGGGGAATACCACACACTTTTAAGTGACCCGGATCTTGCTAATACTATCATGAAAAGAGCACCAATCTGTGAGGAACCTGCCCTCATGACCCAAACACCTCTCATCAGGCCCCACCTCCAACATGGAGGATTACAGTTCAACATGAGATTTGGGTGGGACATCCAAACCATATTAGGCACCCATATCATATGTTAGACACTGTTTAAGGATTAAAGATACAATGGTGAATGAGTCAGATGTGTCCCTACTCTCGTGGTACTTATCTTCTAGCGATACAAGCAAGCAATGAACACTAAAAAATGACCTGAAAGACAGAGACAGCTTTCCCCCCCTTTTTTTTTTTTTTTGAGACAGTCTTGCTGTGTTTCCCAGGCTGGAGTGCAGCGGCGCAATCTTGGCTCACTGCAACCTCTACCTCTTGGGTTCATCTTGGGTTCAAGTGATTCTCCTGCCTCAGACTCCCAAGTAGCTGGGATTACAGACACATGCCACCATGCCTGGCTAATTTTTTTTTAGTAGAGACAGGGTTTCGCAGCGATGGCCAGACTGGTATCGAACTGCTGACCTCAGGTGATCCGCCCGCCTCAGCCTCCCAAAGTGTTGGAATTACAGGTATGAGCCACTACACCCAGCCAGCTTTTCACTTTTATAAACAATTTTACAATGCACATCTTGTCCATTTGTCCTATTAATGTCTTGGATAAATTTTTCAGGAGAAGAATTTCAGGCCAGAAGTGGTGGTTCATTCCTGTAATCCCAGCACTTTGAGAGGCCAAGACAGGAGGATCATCTGAGGTCAGCAGTTTGAGACCAGCCTGGCCAACATGGCAAAACCCGCGTCTCTACTAAAAATATAAAAATTAGCTGGGTGTGGTGGCAAGTGCCTATAATCCCAGCTACTCGGGGGGCTGAGATGAGAATTGCTGGAAGAGCAGTGATCTGAGATCATACCACTGTACTCCAGCCTGGGTGACAGAGCAAGACTCCATCTCAAAAAAAAAAAAGAATTTCAATGCCACTGAACGTTCATTATATATGGCCAAAATTCCCTCCAGAAAGCTCGTATCAATTTATACTCCCTCCAACAGTGAACAAGAAAGCAGATTTCTCCATACCTCAGTAGCCTTGGAATATCAGCATTCTCTTTGATCGTTGCCAATGCAGAGGTTAAAAAAAAAAAAAAAAAAGGGAGGCGGAGGTTGTGGTGAGCCGAGATTGTGCCATAATAAAAAAAAAGGTCACCTAATAGATGTTTTAATTTGCATTTTGAGGGTTATAATGAGGTCCAGGTTTTTAAATGTATATAAATGTACCATTTGAATTTGAATTTACTTTTGTGTGGCATTATCTGTGGATGTCCTTTGTCCATTTTTCTACAGGAGCTTTTTTTTTCTTATTTAGCTTAAGATATTAATGTTGGTTTTAAGAATATTAACTCTTTGTCATATGCATCACAAATTATTTCTGTCATTTATCTCTTAATTGTATCTAGGAATTTTGACTTTCAAGATATCTAAAATGCAGAAGAAATATGTGAATTAACCTTGGGTAATGTTTGATTGCCTACATGGGCAAATTTTTTTAAGGCCTCTATTTGTTGCTTAAAGGCAAAAAGGAAAGGAGAAAATTAAAGGGGGAAAGACAGGATATTGCAGGGTTTGGGGAGCAGGCAGCTTAGAGAAATCTTAACCCTCATCTCAGGCAGGTTCAGCTCAGAGACCAATAAATGGCCAAGAACTTAATGAACTGCCCAAGCCCATCAGGCTTGGTGCCAGCCCTGAGCTCCCTGGGGTGAAGCATCCAGGACATGTGAACCAGCTTTCCCCTTTTCCTGTCTAAAGGTTTTTAAAAGCAGCCAGAAGCCATCGTCAGGCTGCCATGTAACTCTGTGAGACCCCAGAGACTGGCCTGAAGTTTCCTATCAAGTCCCTTGCTTGTTTGTACAGATTATTTCTAGGGGTGAATGCACCACATGTGGCTGGGATGGACTCCAAGAACTGACCTAATGAGAAGAACCAAGGGTGTTTGTGAAAGAGAGAGTTTTAGGAGTAAAGGGTTAGAATTCATTATTAGGATGAAACTAGGGAAGGAGCCAGAGTTGGGGAGGTTGGGCTTGGGAGTCAGGAGCAGACATTTAGAATGCCAGACAGAATTAGTGGCTCAGGGAAAGGCTTATGACCTGGAAAGAAGCTCAGATGTACAGGATGAAGTTGAAAGATTAAGATTTGTGTATTCGTTTGGGTTCCCCCAGAAAGCTGAGCCTGAGACAAGGATTGAGAGGAAGAGAGAACACAGCTAGGGATGGCAAGGTGGCCAATAAAGGGTGTATCATGGAGCCAACTATCGCTGGGAGTACTACAGCTCAGTCCCAGGGGAGACCTAGTCCTATGGGGACTGTGCAAAACCTCACCTTAAAGCCATCCCATCTGAGGAGAGGGGGGAGGTGGCACACTGAGTTT